AATATTTGTCGAGCTTTAAAAGTGGCGTCACATTGAGGATTTTTCAGCAGTATATGGCTGTTTTTCCACCATGTTTGGGACCGATTTAGTTGCTTCAATGGCTTCTTATTTTGCATTATAAATGAAGTTTAACATGTGAACAAAACAGTTCGATCTGGAAGAATATTCCTGCGAACCTGCGAAGTGGGGTGATTTTCGACAATTTACGCTACCTTTGGGCTGTTATTAAGAAAATGTATGGCGGAGTGCGAGGATTTATGCGTCCAACAGAAGTCGCTTCGGGACCGCTTTAGCACCCAAAAGCACGTAGAGCACGCAGCGAAAGGTTGTACATAAAATCCACTTTATTTTGCGATCAGGAAGAACTTGTTTCCTCTGGTGGTTGAAACATAGGAGCAATTATTAAAAGAAGGTTAGCTGAAATTGCAGTGTTTTCCTTGTGGTGAATTTGCGACTCGTTTGTAACCTACGATTGTAGGTTACGATGCGCTTGCATGGCGGCCATGCTGTTACGGATTTCTGGCCATGCCATAATTTAGGGAAGTTTTGTAAACACATTATCAGTTTACTATTTGTAGACCATTTCTGTAACCTGCGTGGATATTTTCTTTTGAATTAACTGAGTGACGCCCTCGGAATTTCATCAGTAATTAAGAACGGTGAATCCGTATATTTAGCACCGTAGATTGCACCCGATTTACATATATAGAAAATTGCTTAAAAAATACTTATTATAGCGGTATTCAGAAGCATACTCATGTAGGTAATATGCTTCCGCTTTACTTTATTGTAACGGGTTTCTCTTCATGTAACATATATCCATTTCTTTAATTTCTTCCCTAACCTGCCTGTAAATAATTGAATTTTTTGTTTAAATTCAAGTGTGAGAAGATAGAACAGAAGTGTTGTAGGGTTCTCTTTCCAGATTGAATTCAGGTGAGGACATTAGTTTATGTCTCATGCTTCTCCTGAATCTTTTAATTTTATTGCCCTGGTTTTTTTCACAAAGCCTCTTTCATATCTTTGTGTGCCACCTAATGATTAAAATCTCAGCAAATAGATTCGCCATATTTTAGTAAGTCTTTGGCATTTACTATTTTAAAATTCATAAATGTCATTCCCTTTTCATCTTTGTAAAGAGGTATTACATATTTCATCGACTAAAATCTGAATCAATTTTAGTGAGTTTGAAACTTCATTCTACACAAGAACAATTTAATGGAGTTTAATGTTATATTTCGTTGCTGTCTTTCTCGTATGTATGACTACCATATTGTCTTAACCCTTTAACTCCAGTGAGTGACCAAGACAGAATTTCTCCTTACTATATCTATACAATATCATGTAGACAAGTGATGATAATAAAGAAAAATATCAATTATATATTGGATTACTAATTGATCTGATACCAAATTTCCCAAACCAACATAATGAGAATCATGTGGTGGACAGCAAGGAGAATTACTAATGAGATCTTGGGATTTAAAGGGTTAAAATTGGGGATTTCATCATATTGTAATGATTAAAATATACCTATGCTTTCAAATGTAAGAAAAAAAATATGAGAATCTGATGCTAAGAAACACTTGCAATGGAAAAACCTGTTGCTGGTAGCTTAATATGTCTTAAATGTTTAAATTCTCATGGGAAATACCTTTTTGGAAAGGGGATATCATACAGGAGTTTTCAAAGCTACTAAAAATAAGCTGTTTGCAAGTAATGAAAAGCAAATTGACAATTGTACCTTAATGCTTGACATGCCTCACTCATACATGTCAGTTGTGTATACCTACCATTGTAGAGGTGTCTTTAAAAATATTTTTTTGGTATGGAAATCTGCATGTGCGTGTGTTTTCAACATATAAAACTGGTATTGTGACTACTTTGAATGACTTTGCTACATGCCGTACAGGTACAGGCAGGTGTTGTAAAAATGTTTGCATAGCTTTTTCATATGTACACGTTTCTTTCCCTAAGAATCTTGTTTGACCAGCCTATGCTGAATTCTAATTTTTTCAACCAAATTTTATATCCATCAGAATATTCCTAGATCTCCTAGTATTAGTTAATATTCATGTAATTAATATAATTACATGAAATCTTGCAGATGCATGGCACATTATTTTTCCTCTGATCCTCGTAACATTTTATTATGTCTAGGGATTGGTATTGGCTAGAAAAGTATAGTTAAATTAAAGTTTTGTGCACAGCTTATGGATCAAATTTATGTACTAATAAAATATTGTATCCTTCTTAAGACTAGTTTATCTGAATAAGAATGAGTTACCAGGTGCAAGTGTGGCTTTCACAATGAAAGTTTCCAGGTTTGAAAAAAAGTCACTGCCTATTAAAATCCTCAATTCCTTTGTCCATACAGCCCAAATTCATCAAAATATTGTCATTAGGAGCGATTGGCAAGTTAATGATACAGACAAGAGATCCTATTCCCACATACCCCCGCCTCAATCCTGTCAGCTTATCATGGACATGGCATTTCAAACATGGTGTATATGCCACAAATTTTCCATTTCCCTGACTAATTATTTTGTAATGGTGTTTACAAGTTGTGGAAAATGGTTGGGTTGAAATATAATACAAAGACTTGGTAGATAGTCAAATGAAAACTTTTTACATATCAATAAAATTTATTGTTGCGTTTCATATTAACATGTCGCAACAACTCCACCTTCCAGTAAATTCAATTATACCACCTAAAACTTTTCAACTTATTTAATATAGCCAATAACAACATCAACTAAACTTTTAAACTAAAGAGAAAGTTGGATTGATGTTTGGAATCTGTGATGTAAAAATGAAATTCAGGTATTATCTCAAGTTTTCTTAAGACAAATGAATAAAGGGGGTAAGTTTCTAGAGAAACTGTGGTGCTGCGTCGGTGGGAGAGTGCAGCGGGTAATTTGGTGTGAACAACTGAGTTGAAAACGTGAATTGGCCACCGTAAAGAGTTAAAAGGCTGACATTTCGAGCGTTAGCCCTTCGTTAGCCCTTAAAGACACCCACATTATGTGCTGTTACAACAGAGGCTACCGAATTAAAAAATCTCAAAATGATGCCGTGTATTTCCAGCCAGAGGACAATCATGAAACAAGAACAGCCAAAAGGGAAAAAGGTTTAAAAATTGCGGGTTCAAACACGAGTTGAGAATTACTTTTCTTTTTAATTTTCAACGCTAAACAGAGGAGGTTGAAACGTTAGGGAAAAATGGTGGGGATTTAAAATACCTGAGTGAAGGAGACTCCAAGTAGAGATGGAAATGAGTCAATTAATAAGAACTCGAGAGTTAGAAGCATGGTTTCATGATATAATCATTCGAGCCATAGAAACACGATAAATATCTGATTTTTTTCGGACACCAATTGATGACATGGAAGTAGGAAAAAATATCATACGAAGAACTCTTTCGTTAATTCTCGTTGGAGTGTTTGAACGTTCACCAAGAAGAAGGAATTTCCAGTTAAAAATAGGACTAATATTTTCTGATATATCTGAAGACTTTCATGATCTTTTACAAAATCGAATAGGAGAAGTTCGTGTTTTATCAGAAGTAAGATCTTATTTCCATTGTGGAATAGACATGAAAGTATGATTAACAAGACGACCTGGGCCATTTGCGTGGCAGTTTCAGTTTTTTTCTTGACAGAAAGGACACTTTTTTTAGAAGGATGATGTTTTCTCTTTTTTCTTCTCTTTTCAAAAGGAACCTGAATTGTATGATTGCATTGGTGAATTCCATGTACCAAAAATATTAGAAATCGTATCAAGTCTTCGTGATTTCATTTCTAATTTATCTTCGTAGTCAATGACAAGCTTAGCTTATGGTTACATTTGTGCAGAGATGAGAATCATCGTAAGACAAATTATCGAAGCCATGCAAAGATTCATGATTCGAAACATTCCTAATATCATATCCAGTTACTTTGATATATGTTTCATTGCATGGCTACGCAGAAGACAAAACGATCTCGACCATTCGATTACATTTTATAGATGTCATTAACTCAAAGCCTTTTTTCTTCATTTTCCAAAAAGTGGAGACCCGTATTGAGGGGGATACCAGAAGAAATTCCCAGGAACCGTTTCACAGTTGACAAGACGTGGCCTTCAAACAATCGACTTGAGAGCATTTGAAATTGTCCTGGAACTTATCTTACCAATTCATTTAAGTGTACATTCACATCGAACCAGAAAACTGTTAAACATAGCTTTCAATTGGGAATTTGTTCCAGCAACAATTCAGAGATGTTTCGATTCATTTAGACCCGTTGTCATTCCAGAAATACAGTGAGGAAAAGGAAATTCATTCGAAATTTTGCAACTGTCTCATTCCACCCTGTAAAACTTTTTTCAAATGATTGATCATGTCAAATGATCAGTTGAATGGCACGAAGCCTGAGGTTTCATTTCAAATTTTTTTGGTAGTAATGGCAGATTTCATGAATCGGGATGACACTTTACGCGAGAACCTTAAGATTAGGAGTCAAAGCAACATTAGTCATCGGCTAGGCAGTGCGAAAATGATCCAAACGAAAACTTTTTCAGAATGACCATTTTTGGTAATAGGATTTTTTCGCTTTCATTTATCCTTCAGTTTTAAATTCCACCTTTATTTGTACCATTCACTTGAAATGGACTACCTTGTTTAGAAATGACTTATCATGTGTATGTAGAAAGGTTTAATCTTAGATAAGGGAGAAATACATTCATCGACATGGACGCTTTCCAGCAGGGAGGGTACACGTCCCGAATGTAAACTAAGGATTTTGTTGTTACAATTTAAAAGAAAATACATGTTTGTTCTAATTCTAGACTTTATTGGGTTGTCAATCACTTATTGCGCACGCACGAAATCCCCCCCCATAAAAAATCTGCGTGAGTGCGTTTGGGGTGTGTCAAAATTCGGGATCCAGATTGATGAAAACGCATCACATTGTACAAAATACGGCTCTAGGATTGGTTGTACACCAGAGTAACCACAAGAACTAAGCACAACCACAACCACAACCACAACCACAGCTACCACATCCACCACAACCTCCACATCCTCCACAACCTCCGCATCCACCACAGCCACCACAGGCAACCCCAAGTTCGTGCTTAATGTATGCGTTGCTCGGTATAGTGGTTGCATAGAACCCTGCCGCGACTATCAGCGCTAGGTCTTCACAGCGGATTCTACGAGGTTTGTCTTTCTGGCTTGACACCATAACGGATGGCTCTGTGTGGTCGATCATTCTTTTCGAAGTGTTAGGCTGACACAGAAGATGAAGGACAGCTATAGAGAATCCCAGTACAATGCTTTCTGGTACGGCACTTACTGCATGTGTAAAAGAGATCACTCCAGTGCGAAGGTTAACGTAGACTTTCTCTTTTTCGCTGAGACTTACCCTGAAGTTTTCTTCATTTTTATTCACTTTTTTCCACTCTTGTGCTCCGGACAATGAGAAGAACTCGATGCACAAATAACCTGGTTGGCCCTTCACGCCAGGCGTTCCTTTAACACCTGGACTACCTTCAGACCCTCCTATTCCAGGTACGCCAGGAACACCCTTCACAACTCCTTTCCATTTGCCAATGCAGATGCCCCAGTCTTTGCACCCTCTAATCAACATGGCTCTTTCCCCTCCCGCCACATCCAAAGTGCAACAAAACTGGGGCTGGTCGACTTGCTTTTTCGTCGGAGGGACATTTTTGCGTAGAAGGTGCGCGGTGCTAACAACCTCATCGACGTGGTTCATGACCTCTACGGAGGAGAACAGCAACTCAGCGGAGTGCATCACTCGGCAGGTAAACGCTTTTCGTCCCCAACAGTCCAGTAGCGGATGCATTGAAATTTCACTAGAAGCCAGGGTTTGGTTCAAAGAACAAGGCGAAAGGAACAGTGCTGGTGAGCTCAAAATGGAAGCAGCATCTTGGACTGGGCTGATATTCCTCTTTGGTATTACTGTGAAAATGTATTCGTCTAGCTGAAGTGGATGTACCACTGTAGTAAACCGAACAATCAGGTTTTTATCGATGGTTAACTCGTGCGTTTTCGGTTGAGGCACCACGTTACTCTTGTAAGGGACTCTCGGGGCCAGATATCCGTCTGATAAGTAATACTCTACAGACTTGTATAGTAAATGTGAAAAGCAAGAGGAAGTTCCACGTCGCTGAATATTCGTCCGTGACTGTGACTTAAGGCTCGGTGATAACCAGATTTCAATTACGGAAAAAGTCGTTAGTACTCATAAGTTGACGAAAACAGTCCTTTCCAGGACTGCCACTTCTACACTCAACAACTTTCAAAGTTAAAAACATCCACCTAGTAACTAGAGTTTGCTCATAAGTAATACGTCTTAATGTGTAACTTGGTGCAAACTATTCGCCTTCATGCTTACTTTTGGCCACATTCTTTCGCGGAAAATGATTTACCATTTCTGAAGCGATCAGTGAGTGAAAACCAAACTCGATAATAGAACGATTAAAATTGTTTTTCACTATTTCTTGTGATTTCCCCATGGCTCACACGTAAATCATTATGGACCTGCTCGCTATTTACTTATCGCGATATTATTTCATATAATTGTTCATTAATGAATCCTTATGTTCTCAGAAATTCGGCAACCCTCTTTTGGTCAGCTTCAAATATATTAATCTGGTGGATATCTAATATTATTGCCTCGGCAACAGTAAGATTACTCACCGCAGAAAGCCTTTGATTGTAATATGACTTTGTGGCTAGATACGACTACCTATCAATATTAGCTAGTACAAAACTTTCAGGTGAGTCAATTATGTCACTAATTCATTAAAAAGCTAGTTTCAAGCCCTGATGGAAATAAAAACTTTCGAAGAAGAAAATTTGTACAAGAACGCTTACCCTCAAATTCCCGCTACTCTTCTTTTTATATGTAAACCTTGATAACGCACCATAAGATTTTGTAACTCTTGCAGCAGGTCCACGAACTTGCTCCTTTAACACTTGCGAGCCATTGACAAGATCAATTTCGACAGTGTAGGTTTTCGATTTTGGGAGACCTTCAACTTCCAACGTGGTCAAGTCTACGGTGTACTCAAATGTTGCATGCAAACTGTAATCAATGGATTCTTTCTGCGTACCAAGAGGAGGCTCTCCGCGAAACATGGCTCCATTAAGTGCAAATTGATGACCCAGCTCTTTCCATTTCTCTCGTGTTACTGTTTCAGCCTTGATAAGTTGTGAGCCTGGCTTTCGGTCGTTCACCGAGTCATTGTGATTGTATTCTTCACCCAGGATTTCTGTAGTGTCTCTTGTATAGATTGACGGATTAAGTTGATGTGAGTGCCAAATAAGGTCAAAGTCATAGCACGGTACAAAAAACAATTCTGGATTTTGCTGCTTGAGATAAAGATGAAATTTATACCTCTCCACTGCTTTGGTCAATAATTTCCTATCCGCGAAATGAGGTAGGGACAACTGATAATTAAAAACCCTCTGTCGAGCACAAGCAGCCTCGATGTCATACACAATTCTTGATTGGAAATCTGGCGCGTCGTAAACAGGGGCCGTCAGGTCTACTTCAAAAAGTTCCTCAGGATACAGCTTTTCCCATAGGGCCCTGGCCTTTAAAAGTCCTTTGTCACGTTGCTCACCAGCTAGTAATTTATGATCCACCAAAGTGGCGACAATTTCCTTACAGTCCCTCTGGTAACTGATAGGGGACAGCATGTGCACATGCCACACCCAGGCGATGTCAAGTGGTGCTGCAATGTTCAAGAAACTTAACTGACTCGATGTTCAACCTGATTTCAAGCGGTAAATACATGAATTAAGTCTGTAAGAAAAACCAGCGTTAAAACAGTAACTGATGGCAATAAAAAGACAAACGTTACCATCCAAATTTAGATTGCACTGAGCTGCACCATAGTTTTTTTTCTGCAAATAATCCAGGCTTCCCACAATCAACTGCCAGTAACTTTTTTCTGTCGAGCTTTAACCACTCGCTATCGACGTGGCTTGGAAAGGAGGCACCGTAGATCACTGCATGTATTCCTACGTCACCTTTGCAATTGCGTGACTCGATCTTGTCGATTCACCAGAACCTTATGCGTCGATTCGTACAAGAGGAATAGACTTGTTGTTTGTGCACCTCACGCATTGCTTTTAGAACGAGGAACACTTTCGTTGTTTGTGCACTTCGCGCGTTGCTTTTCAGTAGAGCGAAGATTACTGTTGTTATTTGTGCACTTCAAACGGTACTTTTAGAACGAGGAATACTCTTGTTTTTTGTGCACTTCACGCGTTGCTTTTCAGTACAACAAAGATTACTGTTATTGTTTGTGCACTTCACGCAGTGCTTTTTGAATGAGGAATACTCTTGTTATTTGTGCACTGTTTTTTGTGCAAAGTGACGTTGTCTAGCTATTCCTGAAACAACTTGAGAAGAAAATGACAGCTTTACCCTCAACAAATGTTCTAAGTTTGCTTTAAGCGCCTTAGATTTCCGAAATCACTCTTTCGACCTCCACTACAATGGCTTGATAATTCGCAAAAGTACATCATGTCACAAGACCAATATCGTATGAAAATTGGAATTTGTTTTTAATACTGCCCTTTACTCGACCTTTTCGTTTGCAGAAAGACCAAAGACCTGGAAGACCAAAATATGTTCTAACTATGAAAATATCTCTCCTGAGACGAGAAACTCGAAGTATATGAAAAACTAGTCAGCCATAAAATCAAACATTAATTCTTTTGTAGTTTGTAGCATATGGAGGTCTTTTGTCGAGTGACAGATGCAGCTTTACAAAAGACCCCTCGATAATTGTCGTTGTTTCCCACCCACTCAAGTCACTTAATGCATGACTCAGCTCTAACGGATACGTAAACTGACTGAGAAAATGATCTCTTGTTTTGCTCAATTTTCGAATTCCCAAAACCTTCATACTCCTGTTTTGCACAATTTTTTCGCAATCTTCAAATCAACAACGGAAAAACTTGAAAAATGGCTGCGTTTACAGGTTATGTAAAATACTTTTACTGTAGAGTACAAGTAGCTGAACATAGACAAAGTATAATTTTCCGCTTTCTAATGATTTGTCGTAAACACCACGCAGTGCCAATGACTAGTAAGAGTTGAACGATACAGAGAAGGCCATGAAGTGTGCCCCATGAGATGTTTGAAGACGGATTGTTCAGTTTTAATTCGAAGTCATTACTCAGATATCAGCGAGCTTAGTAAAATCTCTTTAATTTGTTTTTCTAATGTCTCTGCTTGACTTTCAATGGCTCATTTTCTTTTTAAATTTTACATGTTCTAAGAACAATATTGAAAGGAACTGGAAACTGTTTTTGACCCCGAATCGATTAGGATAGAGCGCTTCGTCGTTCGCACAGTGCTCCTCGATTTATTTTCAGCGACAACTTCGAAAACATTCATCTACTGTTATTAATTGGTAAAGTAAAGAATAGTAAAAATACAAGTAAAACCTAGAATCGTTAGTGAATAACAAGCAAGAAAAATGTCTTTGTGCTCCTCGAATTATTATTTTGTTCTATCTTAATAAATCATGACTCCTGATTAACCGACAAGTTAGCATAACATCTATCGGGTAACAATCAACTATAAATTACATAATTGTGTGTTCTCTACTTTGCCATTAAATCGAGATACAAGTGGATATTTTATGTTATTACATTATATTTTTGCTAATGTCCAAAAAAAAACGTTGTATCCAATTAATTAAGTCTTCAATTTGAAAATGTACATTGGTACGTTCGCATTAAGTTTTCATTCTTAGACTTATACATCTAACTTAAGAGTATCCAAGAAACTCTCGCAAAATCTTGCCGAAATACGGCAAAGTACCTCGGTAAATAATTGTGGCAGTCCCACTTGGAAATGACTGCACGGAGGTTAAAGAAAATTACTCAGTACTATGCGCGAACCCAAAGAAACACCCGACTCGGTTCCTGCGGGCATGTTCCCTTCCTTAAAGATATTTCTCTTACTTTCATATTAAAACAAAGTTTCATGCAGTAAGGGCAGGTCATAAAAATCCCTCTATTTTCGAGGACTTATCGGTAAGTGCCTCCGTTCCTCAGCCTTTCAGTTCATTATTAGTTAGTAAACAGGCCTTAATCCCCACAGCCACAGCCACAGCCACAGCCACCACATCCACCACATCCACCACTTCCACCACTTCCACCATATCCACCACTTCCACCACATCCACCACTTCCACCACATCCACCACTTCCACCACATCCACCACTTCCACCACATCCACCACTTCCACCACATCCACCACTTCCACCACATCCACCACTTCCACCACATCCACCTCTTCCACCACATCCACCTCTTCCAGCACATCCACCTCTTCCAGCACATCCACCACAGCTACTGCATCCTCCACAACTTCCACAACCTCCACATCCTCCACAACCTCCGCATCCTCCACAACCTCCGCCTCCACAAGCATCCCCAAGTTTGTGCTTAACATATGCGTTGCTCGGTACAGTGGTGGCATAAAACCCTGCTGCGACTACCAGCGCCAGGTCTTCACAACGGATTCTGCGAGGTTTGTCTTCCTGGCTTGAAGCCATAACTGATGGCTTCGTGTGATCGGTCATTCTTGTCGAAGTGTTAGGCTGACACAGAAGATGAAGGACAGCTATAGAGAATCCCAGTGCAATGCTTTCTGGTACGGCACTTACTTCGGATGGAAAAGAGATCACTCCAGTCCGAAGGTTTACGTTGACTATCTCTTTTTCGCTAAGACTTACCCTGAAGTTTTCTCCCCGTTTCTTCACTCCTTTCCACTCTTGTGCTTCGGACAATGAGAAGAACTCGATGCACAAATCACCCGGTTGGCCCTTCACACCAGGCGTTCCTTTAACACCTGGAATACCTTCAGACCCTTTTCTTCCAGGTACACCAGGGACACCCTTTACAGCTCCTTTCCATTTGCCAATGCAGATGCCCCAGTCTTTGCAACCTCTAATCAATATGGCTCTTACCCCTCCCGCCTCATTCAAAGTGCAACAAAAATCAGGCTTGCCGACTTGCTCCTTCGTCGGAAGGACATTTCCGCGTAGAAGGTGCGCGGTGCTAACAACCTCATCGACGTGGTTCATGACCTCTATGGAGGAGAACAGCAACTCAGCGGAGTGCATCACTCGGCAGGTAAACGCTTCTCGTCCCCAATAATCCAGTAGCCGATGCATTGACATTTCACTAGAAGCCAGGGTTTGGTTCAAAGAACAAGGCGAAAGGAACAGTGCTGGTGAGCTCAAAATGGAAGCAGCATCTTGGACTGGGCTGAAATCCCCATTTGGCATTACTGTGAAAATGTATTCATCTGGCTGAGGTGGATGCACCACAGTGGTAAACCGAACAACCAAGTTTCCAGCAATGGTTAACTCGTGCGTTTCCGGTTGAGGCACCACGTTACTTTTGTAGGAGACTCTCCAAGCCAGATATTCGGCTGAGAAGTAATACTCTGCAGACTCGTCTAGTAAATGTGAAAAGCAAGAGCAAGTCCCATGTTGCTGAATACGAACCTAACAAAGTAAACCAAAAAACATGCACTTTTTATTACATGTGATGAAATATTTTAGGCAGGAGTTGTTCGTGGAAAGATTTTTGTCCGTGGCTGTGACTTAAGGTTCGGTGATAATCAAATTTCAATTGAGGGAAAAGTCGTAGTATTCATAGGTTGACGAAAACACTCCTTTCCAGGATTGTTACTTCTACGCTCAAATCCTTCTTCTTTTCCATCGCCCAACAAAAATCTTTCCAAGTTGAAAATATCCACCTACAAACTAGAGTTTGCTCATAAGTAATACGTCTTATCGTGTAACTTAGTGCAAACTGTTCGCCTTTTTGCTTACTTTTGATCACATTCTTCCGCGGAAAATGATTTACCGTATCTGAAGCAATCAGTGAGTGATTAACAAAAACAAACTCCATAATGAAACCACTAAAACTGCTTGTTACTATTTCTTGTGATTTTTCCATGTCTCACATGTCAAATTATAATGGACCTGCTCGCCACTTCCTGATCACGATATTATTTCATATAATTTTTCATTAATGAATCTTAATGTTCTCAGTAATTCGGCAACCCTCAGTAAGATTACTCACCGCGGAAAGCCTATGATTGTAATATGACTTGTGGCTAGATACGACTACCTATTATTATTCGTTTATACAAATTCTTCAGGTGTGTCAATTATGTCACTAATTCATTAAAAAGCTAGTTTCAAGCCCTGATGGAAATAAAACATTAAAGAAAAAAAATTGTATAAGAACACTTACCCTCAAATTTCCGCTATTCTTCTTTTTGTATGCAAACCTTGATAACACACCATTAGATTTTGTTGCTCTTGCAGCAGGTCCACGAACTTGCACCTTTAGCACTAGCGAGCCATTGACATCTTCAATTTTGACAGTGTAGGTTTTCGATTTTGGGAGACCTTCAACTTCCAACATGGTTAAATCCACGGTGTACTCAAATGCTCCATGCAAGCTGTAATCAATGGATTCTTTCTGCGTACCAAGAGGAGGCTCTCCGCGAAACATGGCTCCATTTAGTGCAAATATCTGGCCCAGGTTTTTCCATTTCTCTCGTGTCACTGTTTCAGACTTGCTAAGTTGTGAGCCTGGCCGTCGGTCGTTCACTGAATCATTGTGATTGAATAATTTACCTAGGATTTCCGTGGTGTCTTGTGTGTAGATTAATGGATTAAGCTGATGTGTGTGCCAAATAAGGTCAAAGTCATAGCACGGTACAAAAAACAATTCTGGATTTTTTTTCTTCAGATAAAGATGCAATTTATACCTCTTCACTGCTTCGGTCAAAAATCTCTTGTCCGCAAAATGAGGTAAGGACACCTGATAATTAAAAACCCTCTGTCGAGCACAAGCAGCCTCGATGTCATACTCAATTCTTGATCGGAAATCTGGCACGTCGCAAACAAGGGCTGTCAGGTCTACTTCAAAAGGTTCTTCAGGATACAGCTTTTCCCATAGGGCCCTGGCCTTTACAAGCCCTTTATCACGTTGCTCACCGACTAGTATTTTATGATCCACCAAAGTGGCGACAATTTTCTTACAGTCCCTCTGGTAACTGACAGGGGACAGCATGTGCACATGCCACACCCAGGCGATGTCAAGTGGTGCTGCGATGTTCAAAGGAATAAACCATTTCTTGATACGAGTGGCATTCTGAGCCAGCAAAGGCAGCCAGAAAAGTTCATATCTAAAGGAAAAGAAAATAGTTAAGGCAAGAGGGTTTTTGTTACTGGGAAAATAGCGAAGCAGTAGATTTCATGAAATAAAAACAATTGATTGCATTCGATCAGTCTTCTCGCGAATTCCATGTTTAGTAATGTGTATGAAAGGAGCTGAGCATACCTTCTGATTGCGTTTCGAACGTGTGGACCGGCGTATAAACTTGGATAATCATCAACAATCCGCAGGAACTGGAGTTGAGCAATAGCGGCGTCCACTAAATAAATACCGAATTGAAACTCGGGACAGAACGCCATGGCTTACTTTGAAGGGTTACTAAATAGGGAGAAAATTAAAAGAAGCCTAAGGTTACGTCGACAAAAGATGTAATTTTTGGATATGCATGAAAATTAGAGCAATCACAAGTCAACAACTTGTAATTAAATAATTCATTCTTGAAAGAGATACAAGAAAAAAGAGGAAAACTATTTTTAATTATTTTAATCATTCAACTAGCGAACAATCACTCTGAGATGCAGAGCATTATGATTCAGCCGCAGTAAAATTGCGCGCAAATGTAGGTGACAGATGTAGCTATAGTCGAGATACTTTTGTCAAACCATTATCATTTTGCATGAGAAACATACTTATAAGTGCTTTGGAGAGTCTGGAAACATTTTTGAAATACCTTCGTAACAAGAAACTTAACTGACTTGATGTTCAAACTGATTTCAACAGTAAGCGGTAGATACATGAATTAAGTTTGCTAGAAACATCGGTGTTAAATCAGTAACTGATGGCAATGAAAAGACGAACGTTTCCTCGTCCAAATTAAGATTGCACTGAGCTGCGCCATAGTTTTATCTGCAAATAATCCAGGCCTTTCCACAATCAACTGCCGGTAACTTTCTTCTGTCGAGCTTTAGCCACTCGCTATCGACGTGGCTTGGGGAGGAAGCACCGTAGATCACTGCATGTATTTCTACATCACCTTCGCAATGGCGTGACTCGATCTTGTCGATTCACTAGGCTATATCCTTAAAAAGTGGATTCTATTTCCAACGTTTACACCTACTTTATTAGGAAGGGTTTCCTCCCTAGTCCTTTTGATTTGACCTATCGAGAAGTTAGAGATTCAAACTACACGACTCGACGGAACAATCACCCAAAGGTTCAAACTATTCTAAGATAGCCACACAAGTTTCTTGAACAGAGATGAGAGATGTAGCATAAGTGAAGATGCTATGGTCAAACCTGATATTTTTCATAAGAAACATATCAGGAAGGGCTTCAGAAAATCTGGAATCCTTTCAAAGTATCCCCATGAACAGCAACTCAACTAACATGATAATCAGCCTCTCATCCTAAACGGTGCTGAACGGTTAGCAGAAGTTTCCTCTAAATTGTATCGATGTTATCAGGTTTCATAACAGTAAGTCAAAAAAAAAAAACGAACACGTCTTCATACCGAAATTTATGTTTCTATTCTGATCTTAGCCTCCTTAAAACAATCTTAGCCTTTCCACTGACTATTAACTCTGACTAGAGTTACTCGATATGGAGGTGTGCTCACGTTGATACAGTGTGTCTTTTTCTGCACCAAAACACATGGCTAATACAAAGAAGCGTGCTGCTCTAAAAGTGACTTTTTCTAGCTATTCCTGAAACAACTTGGGGAGGTGATACCTTTACCCTCAAAAAATGTTCTAAGTTTGCTTTAAGCGCCTAAGATTTCCGAAATCACTCTTCCGACCTCTACTTCGATGGCTTGATAATTCGCAAAAGTACATGATGTCACAAGACCAATATCGTAAGAAAATTGGAATTTGTCTTTAATACTGCCCCGTACTCGATTGAGTGCTTACCTTCTTTAAAACTGTAAATCTACTTTTCGTTTGCAGAATGAACTAATTGGAAGACCAAGCTATGGTCTTACTATGAAAATATCTCTCCTGAGACAAGAAACTCAAAGTATATGAAAAACTAGTCAGCCATAAAATCAAACATTAAGTCTTTTGTAGGCATAAGGGAGTCTTTTATCAAGGTGACAGATGCGGCTTTACCAAAGACCCCTCAATGTCTGCCGTTGTTTCCCACCCTCTCAAGCCACTTAATGTATGACTCAGCTTAAGCGGATACGTAAACTGACTGAGAAAATACACTCTTGTTTTGCTCAATTTTCGAATTCCCAAAACCTTCAAACTCCTGTTTTGCAAAATTTTTTCACAATCTTCAAATCAACAACGGAAAAACTTGAAAAATGGCTGCGTTTACAGGTTATTTAAGATACTCTTACTGTAGAACACAAGGAGCTGAACACAAACAAAGTATAATTTTTCCGCTTTCTATTTGTCGTAAACACCACGCAGTACCAATGAATAGTAAGAGCTGAACGATACAGAGAAGGCCATGAAGTGTGCCCCATGATATGTTTGAAGACGGATTGTTCGGTTTTAATTCGAAGTCGTTAATCAGATATCAGCAAGCCTATTAAACTCTCTTTAATTTATTTTTCTAATGTCTCTACATTGACTTTCAATGTCTCATTTTCTTTATAAATTTCACATGTTCTTAGAACAATATTGAAAGGAACTGGAAACTTTTTTTGTCTCCGAATCGATTGAGATAGAGCGCCTCGTCCAAGATGGTTGTCTTTAATATGCACGCACGTTGACACATTTGATAATTCGGATTATTTAATTTCAATAAATCTATTCTATGGCGAGAACTACATATTCATAAGTATTTACCCAAAGGGACAGAAGCTCAGATATTGAGACCCGTGAAACTAACTAAACTAACTTGCGCAAAAGTGAAAAAAATGCGAGGTGATGCAGATAAAACCAACATTCTTTATGAGAAACTGCACGAGATGTTCTTTAAAGAGTCAAAGAGCCGTTTTGAAATACCCTCCTGAGCAGAAACTTAACTAAAATAAACTCTTATCCATATCAAACGATTACTCGATGTAACTGACTCAAGTTTCCGGGAAGCATGGAAGGAAAAACGATAAGCGAGGAAAAGGTTAGAAATAAACTTTTCAAGTTACCTGAATGGATCTCTTTTCCTGAACTTTAGTTTGCTGAGATAGATTCCAGCCTTTACAACGCCAACTCTGACTTGATTACCTTCTGTCAAGCGTTAACTATTCGATATCAAGGTCCGTCATCGTCTACGTAGCAATTTAAGCCATTAAGGGCATGAGTCAGCTTTTGTCAGGCACTGCAGTCTTTAGGGCCCCTAATTGTTTTCCTGCTTATCGCAGATTGGTGCAAAATGCATGTAATACTCATTAAATCTCTTTAAATTGTTTATTTGATAATAAACAAGGTGGTACTTTTTGATGTTAGCTCAGGCTGTCAAGGACGCGGTATTCCTTGCCGTGCACCACGCGCATGTGAATCATACAAGGTTCGTGCATCATGATCTGACTATAATGACGCGAAAGGAAAAAAACTGACATTTTATTTACTCAACATTTTAGATCATTTACACTTAATATTTTATCGAAACATTTAACTTAGTGTCGACAATTCGTGACGAAGGGTGAAGTTATAACGACTTTGGATACATTGTTAAGGAGTGTTTCATATGTCCATATTCCATACAAGGCAACCCTATTTTTTCTATCAAAAAACTTTGTGTCAGTAATAAAATTAGCAGTTTGAATAGAATTTTTTACAGTCTAACCTCGATTACCCGGACCTCGTATTATCTGTATTATCTTGGCAAGAAAGTTGGAGCATGCGGCTTCTTACGTATTTAAAAATGTAGCTTGATTTTGTAACAGAAAATAACCAAATAGTACTGAGACGAAACTATTGCGCTGGATGTGAGTCAAATGTCAGATGCTAAGTTACAAGAATGGCTGAATAACAGCGTTTGATTCTACCTTATCAAGCTAATTATCCTCCAAATTGAGCCAAATCAAATATTTCTTGCTTGAAAGCCTTCGCCAGTCTTTCCACTCGGTCAGTATTGTGGTTGGCAATCCTCCCATGGGCTTCGGTATTTCTTAGAACATTAAGATATTACGTTAGTTCCGCAAAGTTTTAAATTAACATTTCCTTGCAAATGCATACATTGTTCTGTTTCTGTTGTTTGTTTTGGCCAATCAGCATTGGTTTATACACCTTGAATTCAACTTTGTACTTTGTATAAAACAGAACTTAAGATGACAGAAGAACTGTCGAAACATGTTTTTTAAAAGTGTCGTATACTTTCCTAAATTCGTTACATATCTACTGCTATCCACACCTATTCACACAACCATCAAATTAACAATGGAGGGAAGTTTTAACTGAAAAAATGTTCTGTATGAGAAAGTAAACAAGAACTATTAGAGAGAGTTGTGGAGCCACTTCGAAATACCGGTATCCTCCCGAAAAAAGAACTTAACTGACATGAATATCAATCCATATAAAATATTTACGAGAAACAATCGATCAGGTTGCCGGGAGGCCTGGAAGGTAAAAACTGAATTATATCTGTCCGAGGGAAAAATTATCCCAAGCAACAATTGTGCTATGCTGGCGAAAAATACAGCCAAAAAATATTTTATCGCGTAAAACTTCGCTAAATAACCGCAGTCTTCCTCGATTTATTTTCAGCGACAGCGTCAAACATTCGTCTACTGTTATTAACTGATAAAGTAAAGGATAGTAAAACTACATGAAAAACCATGAATCTTTAGTGAATAACTATCAAGAAAAATGTCTTTGTGCTTCTCGAATTATTTTTTTTTCTATCTTTGTGAATCACGACTCTCGATTAAGCGACAAGTTAGCATAACATCTATCGGGTAACAATCAACTATAAATTACATATTTGTGTGTTCTCTACTTTACCATTAAATCGAGATACAAGTGGATATTTTATGTTACTACATCATATTTTTTCTAATGTCCAGAGAATAACGTTGTATCCAATTAATTAAGTCTAATAAATCTTTGACTTATACATCTAACTTAAGAGTACCCTAGAAACACTCGCAAAATCTCGCCGAAATACGGCGAAGTTCCTCGGTAAGTAATTGTGACAGTCCTATTTGGAAATGACGGCACAGAGGTTAAAGAAAATTACTCAATACTATGCGCAAACCCAAAGATGCACCAGACTCGGTTCATGCGGGCATGTTCCCTTCTCTAAAGATATTTCTGTTACTTTCAAATTAGAGCACAGTTTCATGTCAGTGAGGGCAGGTCATAAAAATCTCTCTATTTTCGAGGACTTAAACGTAAGTTCCTCAGTTCCTCAGCCTTTCAGTTCATCCTTAGTTAGTAAGCAAGCCATAATCCCGTCAGCCACCACAGCCACAACCACAACCTCAGGCACAGCCACAGCCACAGCCACAGCCACAGCCACAGCCACAGCCACAGCCACCACATCCACCACATCCTCCACATCCTCCACATCCTCCACATCCTCCACATCCTCCACATCCTCCGCATCCACCACCGCCACCACAGGCGTCCCCAAGTTTGTGCTTAATATATGCGTTGCTCGGTACAGTGGTGGCATAGAACCCTGCTGCGACTACCAGCGCCAGGTCTTCACAACGGATTCTGCGAGGTTTGTCTTCCAGGCTTGACGCCATAACTGATGGCTTCGTGTGGTCGGTCATTCTTGTCGAAGTGTTAGGCTGACACAGAAGATGAAGGACAGCTATAGAGAATCCCAGTGCAATGTTTTCTGGTACGGCACTTACCGCGGATGGAAAAGAGATCACTCCAGTCCGAAGGTTTACGTTGACTATCTCTTTTTTGCTAAGACTTACCCTGAAGTTTTCTCCCCGTTTCTTCACTCTTTTCCACTCTTGTGCTCCGGACAATGAGAAGAACTCGATGCACAAATCACCCGGTTGGCCCTTCACACCAGGCGTTCCTTTAACACCTGGACTACCTTCAGACCCTTTTATTCCAGGTACACCAGGGACGCCCTTTACAGCTCCTTTCCATTTGCCGATGCAGATGCCCCAGTCTATGCACCCTCTAATCAATATGGCTCTTACCCCTCCCGCCTCATTCAAAGTGCAACAAAAATCAGGCTTGCCGACTTGCTCCTTCGTCGGAAGGATATTTTCGCGTAGAAGGTGCGCGGTGCTAACAACATTACCGACGCGGTTCATGACCTCTACGGAGGAGAACAGCAACTCAGCGGAGTGTATCACTCGGCAGGTAAACGCTTCTCGTCCCCAATAATCCAGTAGCCGATGCATTGATATTTCACTAGAAGCCAGGGTTTGGTTCAAAGAACAAGGCGAAAGGAACAGTGCTGGTGAGCTCAAAATGGAAGCAGCATCTTGGACTGGGCTGAAATCCCCATTTGGCATTACTGTGAAAATGTATTCATCTGGCTGAGGTGGATGCACCACAGTGGTAAACCGAACAATCAGGTTTCCAGCAATGGTTAACTTGTGCGTTTCCGGTTGAGGCACCACGTTACTTTTGTAGGAGACTCTCCAGGCCAGATATTCGGCTGAGAAGTAATACTCTGCAGACTCGTCTAGTAAATGTGAAAAGCAAGAGCAAGTCCCATGTTGCTGAATACGAACCTAACAAAGTAAACCAAACCATGCATGTCAAAAGTAGCACCTTGTACGGTCGTACGGTCGTACATCCAAATTTTTGCGGCTTGATGAGTTACTACTATTTTGTATAATCATGGGGCTACGCTCTGCGAGCTCCGCTATAATTTTTCATCAATGAATCTTAATGTTCTCAGTAATTCGGCAACCCTCAGTAAGATTACTCACCGCGGAAAGCCTATGATTGTAATATGACTTGTGGCTAGATACGACTACCTATTATTATTCGTTTATACAAAACCTTCAGGTATGTCAGTTTTGTCAATAATTTATTAAAAAGCTAGTTTCAAGTCCTGATGGAAATAAAACATTAAAGAAAAAAAATTGTATAAGAACACTCACCCTCAAATTTCCGCTATTCTTCTTTTTGTATGCAAACCTTGATAACACACCATTAGATTTTGTAACTCTTGCAGCAGGTCCACGAACTTGCACCTTTAGCACTTGCGAGCCATTGACATCTTCAATTTTGACAGTGTAGGTTTTCGATTTTGGGAGACCTTCAACTTCCAACATGGACAAGTCCACGGTGTACTCAAATGCTCCATGCAAGCTGTAATCAATGGATTCTTTCTGCGTACCAAGAGGAGGCTCTCCGCGAAACATGGCTCCATTTAGTGCAAATATCTGGCCCAGGTTTTTCCATTTCTCTCGTGTTACTGTTTCAGACTTGCTTAGTTGTGAGCCTGGCCGTCGGTCGTTCACTGAATCATTGTGATCGTATACTTTACCTAGGATTTCCGTGGTGTCTTGTGTGTAGATTAATGGATTAAGCTGATGTGCGTGCCAAATAAGGTCAAAGTCATAGCACGGTACAAAAAACAATTCTGGATTTTTTTGCTTCAGATAAAGATGCAATTTATACCTCTTCACTGCTTCGGTCAAAAATCTCTTGTCCGCAAAATGAGGTAGGGACACTTGATAATTAAAAACCCTCTGTCGAGCACAAGCAGCCTCGATGTCATATTCAATTCTTGATTGGAAATCTGGCGCGTCGCAAACAGGGGCCGCCAGGTCTACTTCAAAAGGTTCTTCGGGATACACCTTTTCCCATAGGGCCCTGGCCTTTACAAGCCCTCTATCACGTTGCTCACCGACTAGTATTTTATGATCCACCAAAGTGGCGACAATTTCATTACAGTCCCTCTGGTAATCGACAGGGGACAGCATGTGCACATGCCACACCCAGGCGATGTCAAGTGGTGCTGCGACGTTCAAAGGAATAAACCATTTCTTGATACGAGTGGCATACTGAGCCAGCAAAGGCAGCCAGAAAAGTTCATATCTAAAGGAAAAGGAAATAGTTAAGGCAAGAGGGATTTTTGTTACTGAGAAAATAGCAAAGCAGTAGATTTCATGAAATAAAAACAATTGGTTGCATTCGATCAGTCTTCTCAAGAATTCCTTGTTTAGTACTGTCAATGAAAGGAACAGAGCATACCTTCTGATTGCATTTCGAACGTGTGGACCGGCGTATAAACTTGGATAATCATCAACGATCCGCAGGAACTGGCGTTGAGCAATAGCGGCTTCCACTAAATCAATACCGAATTGAAACTCGGGACAGAACGTCATGGCTTACTTTGAAAGGTTACTAAACAAGTAAAAAATGAAAAAAGCTAAAGGTTTCCTCGTCTAAAGATGTAAATTTAGGATATTCCTAAAAATTAGAGCAATCACAAGTCAAGAACTTGCAAAATGATTCATTCTAAGAGGAGATATTGGAAAAAAGGGGGAAACAATTTAAAATTATTCAACCAGCTAACAATCACTCTGAGATGCAGAGCATTATGATTCAGCCACAGTAAAATTTCGCGCAAATTAAGATGACAGCTGTGGCTATATTTTCAAGATACTATGGTCAAACCAGCATTATGTTAATTTTTAAACATATTTATGAGTGAAATAGAGAGTCTGAAAACATTTTTGAAATACTTTCGTTACAAGAAAGCTAACTGACTTGATGCTCAACCTAATTTTAACAGCAAGCGTAGATACATGATTTAAGTTTCTAAGAAGCATCGGTGTTACAACAGTAATTGATGGCAATGAAAAGACAAACGTTTCCCCATCCAAATTAAGATTACACTGAGCTGCGCACGGTTTTTTCTGTAAATAATCCAGGCCTCTCCACAATCAACTGCCGGCAACTTTCTTTTAGTCAAGCTTTAATTACTCGCTATCGAAGGGGCTTGGAGAAGAAGCACCGTAGATCACTACATGTAATCCTATACCCCATTCACACCAGCAAAACATGTTTTGTTAAACTGGTTTTCATTGAATGAAAATTATAAACAGAGAACTGAAAAACTTGATTTTCCATTGGATTCAAGTACTAGTAGATCACGGTTAAATACATGTAACTGTGTTTCTTTTAAACATGTTTAAGCTTTGGTGTGAATGGGGCACTAGTCACCTTCGCAATTGCGTGACCCGATCTTGTCGATTCATCAGAGCCTTGTTTCCAATGTTTACGCCTACTTTATTAGGAAGGGCTTCCTCCCCAACCCTTTTGAATTTACCTATCGAGAACTAAGAGATTTAAAACACAAGACTCGACGGAACAATCTCCCACAGGTTCAAACTATTCTAACACGAGTTTCTTGAACAGAGATGAGAGATGTGGCATCAATGAAAATGCTATGGTCAAACCTGATATTTTTTGTGAGAAACATATCAGGAAGTGCTTCAGAAAATCTTGGATCCCTTCAAAATAGCCCCATGAGCAGCAACTTAACTAACATGATAATCAAGCTCTCATCCTGAACGGTGCTGAACGGTGCTGAACGGTGCTGAACGGTTGGCAGAAAGTTCCCACTTAATTATATCGATGTCTCAGGTTTCAAAACAGTAAGCGAAAGGAAAAAAAGGAACACGTCTTAATACCGAAAATTATGTTCCTACAATGATCCTAGTTTCCTTAAAACAATCTTAGCCTTTTTACTGACTAGCAACTCTGACTTGACCCTCTATGTCTAGAGTTACTCGATATGGAGGTGTGCACACGTTGATACAGACAAGGTATAATTTTCCGCTTTCGATTTATCGTAAACACTACGCAGTACTTGTGAATAGCAAATAAATAGTTGAACGATACAGAGAGGGCCATGAAGTGTATTTTATGAGATGTTTGAAGACAGATTACTCAGTTCGAAGTCATTACTCAGATATCAACAAGCTTATCATGGAGGTGTGCAGAAGTGCACTCCATTGAGAGCGCTTACCTCTTTTAACCCTCTAACTCCCATGAGTGACCAAAACAGAATTTCTCCTTACAATATCAATACAATATCAACCAGATACGTGATGAGAATATAGAAAAATATCAATTTGGGAATGATAGGTTTATTCAATATTAAATTCTGTGAACTAACTCTAAAAGAATTGTATGGTTGACAGTAAGGAGAATTACAAATTTGATCTGGGAGTTAAATGGTCAAAACTGTGAATCTCCTTTCCGTTTGCAGAATAAATCAATTGGAAGACCAAAATATAGTAGAATTATAAGGAAATCTCTCCTGAGACGAGAACTTCAAAGCACATGAAAAACTAGTCAGCCGTGAATTAAATCAAACACGAAGTCTTATGTAATTTCTGATATACGGGAGCCTTTTATCGTGGTGACAGGTGCGGCCTGACCAAAGACCCCTTTGTTTTCCCACCCACTCAAGCCACTTAATGCATGACTCCGCTGTAGCGGATACGTAAACTTACTGAGAAAATGAACTCTTGTTTTGCTCAAGTTTCGAATTCCCAAAACCTTAAAACTCCTCTTTAGCTCTATTTTTTCAAATCAACAGCGAAAAAAACTTGAAAAAATGGCTGTATTTACAGGTGATATAAAATACTTTTACTGTGGTGAACAACTAGCTGAACACAGACAAAGTATAATTATTCTCTCTTTAATTTTTTTTGTCTCTGCATTGACTTTGAATGTCTCATTTTATTAATAAAATTCATATATTGAAAGAGAAACTGGAAACTGTTTTTGACTGCGAATCGATTGAGATAGAGCGCCTCGACTAAAATGGATGTCTCTGATATGCAGACATTGAAACTTTTAGAATTCGGATTATTTACTTTCAATAAATCTATGCTGTGGTGAGAACTACATAGTAATTGGTATTTATCCAAAGGGCTCAGATATTAAGACCCCTGACTTTGATACTAACTACTAAAAATTACTGCGCAAAAGTGAAAAAATGCGAGATGATGCAAGCAAAACTGACATTCTTCATGAAAAACTGTATGAGATGTTCTTTATAGAGTCGAAGAGCCATTTTGAAACACTCTGCTGAGCAGAAACTTAGCTAAGATAAGCGATTACCCGATATAACTGGTTCAAGTTTCCGGGAAGCATGGAAGAAAAACGATAAGGAAGGAAATAGTAAGAAATAAAGTTTACGCGTTACCTGTGTGAATCTCTTTCCCTGAGCCTTGGTTTTCTGAGATGGATTCCAGCCTTTCCAACGTCAACTTTGAATTGATTATCTTCTGTCAAGCGTTAACCACTTAATATCAAGGTTTGTCATCGTCTACTTAGCAATTCAAGCCATCAAGGGCATGAGTTAGCCTTTGTCAGGGCTCATCTATTTTGCAAAAGGAAGTTGTTGTTCACCGAACCTCGAATTTGCAGGCTGAGGTAGAGGAACTATTAGTGTCATGATGCTCGCGAACTCGTCTACGGTGTACTCAAAAGCTCCATACAAACTGTAATCAATGGATTCTTTCTGCGAACCAAGTGGATGCTCTCTGCGAAACATGGCTTCATTAAGTTCAAATTAATGCCCCGGGTTTTTCCATTCCTTTCGTGTTACTTGCCTAGTTTTGACCCTGGCTGTCGGTTGTTCAATCGAATCATTATTGTGATCGAATACTTTACCCAGGATTAACCTGATATGCCATTAAATAAGGTCAAAGTCATAGCACGGTACAAAACACATTTCTGGATTTTACTGCTTTAGATGAAGATGTAATTTATACCTCTCCAATGCTTCGATCAAGAATTTGTTATCCGCAAAATGAGGTAGGGACACCTGATAATTAAAAACCCTCTGTCGAGCACAAGCAGCCTCGATGTCATACTCAATTCTTGATTTGAAATCTGGTGCCTTATCAACAGGGGCCGTCTGTTCAACTTTGAAAGGTTCCTCAGGATCCAGATCTCCCCAAAAGGCCCTGGGCCTAGTTATTCAAAGGGCAGATAACGCTATTTAACGGATACATTGCTATTCAGCAGATAAAGATTTATCCGGTGGATAGCGTTATCCAACTTTCGAACGAACGGGGCCTGGCCTTTATAAGCCCTTTCTGGCGTAGCTCTTAGATTATGTTGTATTCCTACCGAGTAGAGACAATTTAATTGCAGTCTATCAGGTAATCGACAGGGGACAGCATGTGCACATGCCACACCCAAAGCAATAGACCATTTCTTGATACGAGTGACATACTGAGCTAGCAAAGGCAACCAGAGAAGTTCATATCTAAAGGAAATAGAAGTGGGTAAGGCAAGAGTGCTTGTTATGAACCTACGACGAGCTTTACCTTACAAAAGCAATTGTACATATTAGGCTAAGAGCGTATCGATTACGCTCAAATTTTCATGATCTTCAACCAAAGATCACAATTCATTCTTTAGCATGGTTGAGATGTCGCGAAGAAATGCTCGGTGATTAAGGAACAGCTTCTAAAACACACGCCAAAAGAGACTCAAATTAAAAAAAGAAAAAAACCGAGGGAAGTTTTGCCTTTAGATAAAAAGAGCCCTATTAGGACTGAATACTCAAGAGAGACAGAACCGGGGACGAAAAATGAAAGGAGGATCGAAACCAACTAACTCTCTCTCACTTGTTCACTAAGTTCTTTCGCTTTACATTTACAAGCTTCTGAATCATTTTACGCCTCCCTGGTGGGAATTTCAGTCTTGAGCAAAGTTCGTCGAGAGTATCAAGTTCTGGACTGGGAAAATAACAAAGCAGTATATTTCGTCACAAAACCATATTGCGTGTATACTATTAGTCTTCTTCTCGAGAATTCCTCGTTCAGTAGTGTCCATGAAAGGAACAGAGCATACCTTTTAACGTGTGGACCGGCATGTAAATTTTAATGATCATCAACGAGCATCAAGAACTGGCGTTGAGCAAGAGCAGCTTCCACTAAATCAATACCGAATCGAAACTCGAGACGGGACTCCATGGCTGATTATGAAGTATTTCTAAACAGGGAGAAAATTCGAAAAAGAAAGCAAAATTAAAACGAATCACTAAGCCATTACTCAATATGCTTGGGTACAAGAGGTACTTAAACCGATTAGCCTATGATTACTCCTACATTACTTCAAGTGTTTGTTTCTGCTCTAGGACACATGGCTAATAAGGAGGCAAACTATTCTAAACCACAAATACAAATGATGTCTAATTATTTGCAAAATAACATGAAGCTAAGAAGATTGTGCCATATTTTTTTCTGCAAATAACAGTGTAGAGAGTTGATGTCTGAACCTCGGCAGTAGAAGGCCCAATGAGTTATCATCGGTCACGCGCTAGCTGCATGAATAATCGTAACGTTGTCACAGTCAGCGTTTGCGTGAGTTTCTCCCATCAGACAACGACCACTCAATATAGAGTTATGCTGTTATCTACGTTTCCAGCGTCTTCAAAATTTTCGGCCAGTAAGTTGGTCTTTCTCACAATCCAAACATTTCCCATATTTCTTAGCAGTCTTGCGGTTCAGCTGAGGGTCAAAGTCAATTTGGATTCTACCATCTGTGGCATAAGATAAACCAACTCATTATACTTTCGAGTTTTTCCAACGTGGAAAGAAGGCTGCTAAAAGCGACTGAGGAAACCGGATACAACATAGGCCTGAATATTAAGATTGTTCGTCAACCGACAAAAAAATTTAGGCGGCAGGTTTGGAAAGATAAACTTACAAGTAAACTGGGAAAAGGAAATACCACATTCTTGTGGAAAATAAATAATAATAAAATAGACAACGTTTGCATGTACTGAAGGTATCCTGCAATCTCTTTGGCCTCTAATCGTTTTCCTGCTTATCGCAGATTAGTGCAAAATGCATGTAATACTCGTCAAATCTCTTTAAATTGTCTATTTAATAATACATAAGGTGGTATTTTTTGATGTTAGCTCAGGCTGCCAAAGACGTGGTATTCCTTTCTGCGCACCACGTGCATTTGAATCAAACAAGGTTTGTGCGTCATGATCTGACCATAATGACGCGACCGCGAAAAGTTTTTAAGCCACGTGATGAAAAAGTCCACTTCAGTATGATTTTATATTAGAGTGCACAAAAGAAAAGCGAAGTTACTTGAGTCAAGGTCAGTGCTGGGGTTGGGGGGGAGGGGTGGGAGAGTTGTACTGTGTGACGAGAGAGAATAAAGTTATCCTCTCCTGTTTGTGATGATTAAATAATATATTTTGCAGTGGAATGTCAATAGGACGCCAGTATATGACCCTCCTACTGTAAAATACTGCTTCCCCCTCTCCTAAGAGTGTCGCGTGACTGATGCGTGAAGTAATGGCGGACGGATTATTTGTTCCCATAAAAATGATTTCCTGAGCATGACAGGACTCCAACACGGTCACACGCAACTCAAATTATATTACTACGCTACGTTTATACTCATTCCCTAACGATCAACTGGCAATTTTCTCAAAATCATTGTTATCTAACCAGCCTGATTATTGTTGGATTATGATAGGCGAAGTGAAATCAAATCAAATGAAACAGGACGCTGGACTGTAGACAAACAAATCAAACCATCGACTGAAAGGATAATCTTACACCTTCCTAGTTTTCTTAGCTTAGTCCATGGCGTGAGTGAAATGTAAACGGCGTTTAAAAAGAAAAAACATTTTCCATGGCTATCTCATCATTATAATTTTTTTTCTGCTGATTATGTTTGTCTCACGCGATGGACTAAGCTTACAGTTTAGGACTGCTCGTAATCTGTTGAAAGGAAAAAAATGACATTTTATTTACTCAGCATTTTAGATAATTAACAGTTAATATTTTATCGAAACATTTAGCGTAGTTTCGACAATTCGTGACGAAGGGTGAAGTTATAAAGACTGAGGAGTGTTTCATGTGTCCATATTCCACACAGGGCAACCCTACTTTTTTCTGTCAAAAAACTTTGTTTCAGTAATAAAATGAGCAGTTTGAATAGAAGTTAGTATTATCTTAGCCAGAAAGTTGGAACACGCAACTTGCCATATATTTAAAAATGTAGCTTGACTTTATAACAGAAATTGACCAAATAATACTGAGACGAAACTATTGAAAAGTGCTGGATGTCAAATGTCAGATGTTAAGATATAAGAATGACTAAATGACAGCATTTGATTCTACCTTATCAAGCTACTTATCCTCCAAATTGAGCCAAATCAATTATTTCTTCCTTGAAAGCCTTCGGCAGTCTTTCCACTCGGTCAGTATTGTGGTTGGGAATCCTCCTATTGGCTTCGGTATTTCTTGGAACATCAAGACCTTACGTTAGTTCCGCAAAGTTAAAACAGCGTTTGTTGACAAATCAGTGACGCACGGTATGTAAGATGCTGCATGTACAGAGAAACATCTGGCATGGCAGATGCCTCCACGGGTTAAGCTTGGTTTTATTTCTTTGATGGGTTCGAAGGTAATCAACTTACGAGTATCAAAAATGCGCTGCCTCGTGTACTTTGGTTAATCCTGTAGCGCTATTACACCTCACAACAACAACACAAAGCTTCTCAAGTTTAATTTGAACCAGAAAAATAAAAATCACCCTGAAAAGGCTCAAGTTGAGTTGCCAGCGCATTTCATTGGCTTTCACAGATATTCCGAGCTTCGTATGTCCCCCGGGAGTCACGCGAACAACCAAACAGGAAATGATGTCGATGCTCATTTGATGTTGCTCAAAACATACAATCTGCGCCGCGCCGCTGAGCCATGGCGAACATTCAACGTTAAAGGCCCTGGCTTTCTTTACGTTTCTTTATCACGCTTGTGTAGCTCTATTAAAGCCGTAGCCGACCACGTGGTCTTCAATGAGCAAAGGACCTTTGCCTTGAGTCAGGGTAGATCCAGTGACTACAGGTGAGTTACTACAGTTTATATTCGCTGATCTCTGTGTAACGAGCACGGTAACACCCCCAGTGAAACGCGCCTGTCCAATAAGACTATAGATTACACTTGCTTACTACTTGCGCCTGAATTCAGGTTATCCCTAGATATCAGTCAGAGAAAAAACCAACGGATCTTTCGCCTCATTGCTTTCAAGTTTATTTGGCGTAGAGCACCAGGTTAAAATATTCCCGCCCCTTGTGGGTCACAGAGCCATTCTCTTACAAGTGGGTAAACTTCGCGTCAAAATAAATCGTGCGAAACGCCTAATTTTGATAAGAAACCCTTTAAACGTCTCCTTATCAATTAAAAAAGTGCGACAGTGCAGTTGGAAAACCATTAGAGACTTGACTATTAAAAAAAGGTATTTAATTATTGAGATCGGTAATGTTTGTGATGGTGCTGTTTGCTCTGAATATAAA